TGGAGATGACTCTTCATTAGGGACTGTAGTGATAAGACAAGGGGCAATGGGTTTAAACTGAAACAGGGGAAGCTCACTTTAGATACAAGGAAGAAGTTCTTTACTGTTAGGGTGGTGAGGCACTGGAATGGGTTGCCCAAGAAGTTGCAAATGCTCCATCCCTGGCAGTGTTCAAGGCCAGGTTGGACAGAGCCTTGGGTAACATGGTTTAGTAGGAGGTGTCCCTGCCCATGGCAGGGGTGCTGGAACTAGATGATCTTAAGGCCCTTTCCAACCCTAACCATTCTATCATTCTATGATTAAGTTGATAGAAGTAGTGCATTACAGAAAGCTGTTGAGTGATCAATTTTTGTCTCATGTTTGTATAGTCATTCAATACAGATACCATTATATAAAAGTTGGGCTGTGGAGAGATGTAATGGAGAAGATAAATTGTTTTCAGGTTTGTTGTTTTTTTTATTCCCTCTCTGGTTTCTTTAATAAACATAGAAAAAATATATCAGTCCCTTTCGGTATTAGCCTCTTCAGAGAATATTTCACATTATTTCTTTTTAACCAAACTACAAAACTAAAGTATTGGATCTCTGGATCCCTCCTCATTGCCTGTACCTCAGATATTATGACCTGTGAAAATTTTACTCCCTTTTTTGTATCTAGGCCAAGCAGGACACCTTCACAAGACAGATACTACTAATACTACAAATACTACTAAATGCATCCAGATTTCACTGGTAGAATCACACCTTCAGGAGTTTAAAGACAGAGAGAAAGAGTTTGCAAAAGCTGGGCTTTGTGTTCTCAAGGTAAAGAGGGTATTCATGGTAAAAAATAAATCTCAGCTGATATATTTGAACCAAACATGCTTAAAAAACTCAGGTGAACTATTTCAATATATTGCTTTTAAAAGCTGAGATCAGCCTAATCCCTGAAACAGATGTAGTCTTTACTGCTAATTAAAAAGTATTTTAAAACATAAAGCAAATCCAAAAGTGTGGTTAAATTCTGAGAAGTCCTTTTAACTGTATTGTATATTCTGTTTCTTATTTCATGCTTCAAATGTTCCTTTGTAGGACTCTAGAGAGAGATTGGTATGTTAGAATGAGCAGACTCTAGAGAAAGATGAGATTGGTATGTTAGAATGAGCACAATATTCCAGGACACTAATGCAGCATGTCTGTTTTCTTCTTGGACATGGAATAGTGGTGTGATCCTTTTTCTGTGGATCAGTTGCACACTTCGAATACCTGATCTGCTCTGTGGTCAGTGCCTTTAAGCTAAAACAAAAGTTCTGCCACTATGGAACATAGCCTGACCAAGAGCACTTACGAATTTCATGGATATTGGTCTTTGCTAATATGACACTATTATTTATGTTACAAATTGAAAAGATACATAATCCTCTTTTATCTGCTGCATTCCAACAAATGAAAAAAAAAGTAGAAGAAAACCAGTATACCTATCAAATAACACACAAGTTGTACCAGTATGTTCCAGTGCAGTTCTGTAGCTTGGTGTGCCAGACTGGGTTTCACAGGATGTATTCTCCACCAACAGGTAATAATTTGCTTTGGCATCTTTAATCAAAATGAACATAGTGACTGACTACTGAAGTTGGATTAAAACCAGAAAAAATGGCATTCCTAAACAAGAACTGTTTCTTATATGCATTTAGTCATATGAGCTTACTTTTTTATCTGTGGTAAGATTTTCCTTTCTGATATTGTAGTCAGTAAGGCTCTGGGAGGACAAGCAGGATTCTAGCCTAGCAGACACTGCTGACAGAATTTACATAGACATAATGCCATGTCCATGTTTTCTTTTATTGTGTCACTTTTTTAAAGTCAGAAGTCAGCATCTCTGCTTGCTGCACCTTGATGTTTTAAAACATGTTCAAAGGAATCACAGACTAATTGAGGCTGGAAGGTACTTTTGAGGATCATGTAGGCTAACCCCCTGCTCAGATCAGATGCAGTCAGAATTTGACTGAACAGACTGCCATTCAAACTAGAGTATGCTTAGGAAGAAAGTTGTGGTGTCTGTGAAGTACTGTAGTAGACAGACATTTCCAGAAATGGAAAGGATAAGCATTTAGTGCTTCATTCTGCAGTAGGTGAAGGGTCTGGTATTTTGCTGGTCAAATGCAGAACTGGGATCTCAGACAATGAACTGTTCAAAAAGGGAGGTTTGCCTTTCCTTGTCTATGCATATATGTGGCACATTTTCACCCTTTCAAAGTAATAAATAGGATGATGGTCTCATTTAATTTCTTTGCACTTTTCCAGGCCATACAGTGATAGCATTTTTATACAGCATTCTTCTTAAAAATCTCAAAGCTTTTATTTTGTAGCTTACATTATTAAAATCTTGCCGCCTTATCAGAGTCCTTAGTACATGCTGACTGAAGTGTTTATATAAATACATTATATCTTGATGTTTCTATCACTGCATTAACAGTTAAATCTGAATGGTCATTGCTGGAGCAGAAGTTAAATCAGAATGGCCATCAGCTGTCACTGCTCATGATTCTAGTGGGAGGCCAGTGCTAGCATTAGAGCCACTTAATGCATATTTACTTGTGAGAGGGTGGCACACATTCAGCTATAATGTAAATGCAATAACATGTAATACTGAATCAAGAAGCAGACTTTTAGTACCAACACCCCACAACAATCAATTGTTAAAGGCTTTTATTCTTCTAAAAATTTTTCTTTCTTTTTCCAGAACAAAAATACGGAGCTGGCATCTACTTTAAAAGGAACCCGAAAAGTCTAACTGAGGGTAAAACCACACAGGAAACAGACTCTAAAATGTATGTGTTTGAGGCTGAGGTACTAACAGGCTTATACACTAAAGGCAACTCATCTTATATTATGCCACCAGCAGTGGAGGGGGATGCCATTAAGGTATACGACAGCTTGGTAGATGATGTAAATAATCCTGACACCTTTGTCATCTGCAACAGTGCTCAGGCCCTTCCAAGATATTTGTTGACTTGTAAGGAAACCAGCAGTATCCTGAATTAGACCTGTAGCTATTGTGAAGCCCCCTCAGAACTGGGTCTGGTACTTTTGGTACTCTGGTAGAGGATGTTCTTCGTGTGATCAAAGTGCCTTGTGCAAAGTGCTCTGAAATATCCATAAACAAATGAAGTAAGTCAATATGTTAAGAAGGTCAGAACAAAACTATCTGTGAATGGAAGCAGAAGGAAAAGCATCACAAAATACAGTCTAACATTTATCTGGTCATTTACTTTATGCCTTAGAATGTTCTTAGCATGTGACTATACACCTGATGTTTCCATAGGTTGTTATTCTTTCATTACATTTTCTTAATCTGCGATATTCTGTATGTTTGTGAAACCCAAGAAATCTTGGTTGTGCCTTTAATTCCTACTTTTTCTTCTGACTTAAACATGTAAATGTATGAGGTCAAAGCTATTTCTGACTCTGGGACATGCTATTAAATGCACATAGTTATGGTGAGTGTGAGGCAATACTTCATGCTTTCTAACAGTAGTTGCTATTACAGTTTTTATTAGTTAAGATATTTCAAGTATTGTAGACACATGTATTCAAAATAAAAAGTATGACTGATACTATCGGCTAACCTGTTATTTTTCCATATAATCTTAAGAACATGACTTGACTGAGCTTCAAATTTCTCAGTGGCACTGAATCTCACAAAGGCTACAGAACAGTAGAGAACTCATTCAAGCTACAGCATGAAATTCCTTTTTAATCTCCTTTACTGGTATCTTTTAAAGATTACAGTGTCATCCTTGTAGCCAGGTATCTCCCCGCTGGGTCTGGAGTGACCCGAAGCCAGTGACTGGAAAATTCTAAGAGCTACTGTAACTTATGCTAATGTAAAGGGGGATTCAGTCCAGCTCTTGGGTACTTTGAAACTTTCTGTACTAACACCTGAGCTATGCCTGGTGTTAGCGGGGTTCAAAACAAATCTATTGCCCCCAACTAAAAGCTACTACCAGATTTGTCAATTCTGAAGCATTTAAAACCATCAGTTACAGCCCTAACACCTACAGGGCTGTAACAGTGCTGCAATACAGAAGCAAAGGGTTGTCTGTAAATATCAGGCCTGCTTCTAGACTGAAAAGCCACCTGTGGTTAAAATGGTGATTATGTGGGGAAAAGTGCTCATGTAAAACTACTAGAAACTAACAACGTCATATGGAAAGCATTTCAGCCACATGTAAAGCACTATGCTAACGGAGAGCAGTTTGAACCTGAAAACACAGATGAAATAAGCATTTAATAAAACTTTTCAAAATAATCTATTAATTAATTTGTTTGCTATAAGGGTGCTGAGGCCCTGGCAGAGGTTGCCCAGATAAGATGTGGGTGCCCCATCCCTGGCAGTGCTCAAGGCTAGGTTGGATGGGGCACAGTGGTCTAGTGGAAGGTGGCCCTGCCCATGGCAAGGGGTTGGAACTGGATGAGCTTTAAGGTCCCTTCCAACCCAAACCATTCTATGGTTTTGTGAATTCCGGCACATTTGTACTGCACCCACAACTCCCAAGATTAACAGTCACAGTGCTAGGGACCATACAAAATAAATTAAGTTATACAAGTCTAACTCTGAACTCTTCAGTAAGGTTGCAAGTGGATTTTCTTTTTTTAACTGATTACCAATGGTTTTTTAATAGAAAAAATTATTACTGAGAAAACTAACAGCTTACTCCAGTGCCCAGCACATGCTTCCTTCTCCCTCCATGTACACCCACAGTTTAAAGGATTCAGTCTTACCAAATATTTATCTTCCATTTTATTATAGCGAGGTATTTTCTAGTATATAATTTCTACTTAAGCTCACCAGTATCCTCTGCACTTGGTGATATAATGTATATATTTATATACTTATATATACATAGAATCCTTAAAAAATGGGCACGTAAGAGGTTGTATATAATAATTTTCAACTGGTCCATAAAAGAATAATTCCATATACAGAAACTAGAAAATAAACCCAGCACAAACCAGATGTACCAAGTAGTACATATTAAAATAATTACCACAGTAATTGAAAATTCCTTATCTTAGTCCTACAATAATCCGTTAACTGAAGGTTACTCCACAGTCTCTGGGATTTCTCTGTCATCCACAATAAGGGTATGAATAATTCCTTCCTTTCGTTTCCCACTACTGACAGCCTTAATGCAACAGCTGTGATCACCAACACTGAAGTGAGTTTCAGTCCCATCTTCTACAAACTCACCCTGTGAGAAAAGAGACAAGAATAAAACCAGACATGTGCTACTTTAGTAAAGTAAAAAGTTCAAGCACATCAGACTGTTTTCAAGGTCAAGATCCCTCCTGGTTCCCACAATTACAGCAGCTGTTAGTACCTGTGACAAATACAGTGCAAATGATGAACAAAACGGTGGAATCTCAGACTGGGGCTGTGTTGAGGTGTCCAGTTAAAGCTTTGTGACTATTAGGTGGCAATCAAAATTTCACATAATCAGAAGTGGTAAAACTGAAGCTTGTGAATCAGTATCATTGATCCATGTCAGTAAAACAAAAGTAGGAAAGTTTCCTTCTGAGTTGTGCAGTACAATCAGTAAGTACCACACAACTGAGGCTGAAGTGGCAGTAAAACATGAAGTATTCAGTGGTGCCACCTACAGCAGGATGAAGAGATCCCTGACTGGAGTGTAGCAGTTGTGTGATTTGGATACACAGCTCCTACTGCAATTACATTATTTCCCATTATGGATTTTGCCACTGATGGCTGTGTTTTTGTCATGATCTTTGGGAGGGTAGAAAAATCTGTGTGCTACTCTAAAGCAAGCACAGTTTGACAATGAAACCTGTACATGTAGCTTGCAAGAATATCTCCTAGTGCATTTATTACAGCATGGGAAAGGCTGAGAATCATCAAGAACAGAAATTCTGATTCACTGGGAGAGGATGTTTCTTCCACTGATTACCACAGAAACATCTGGTGAATCTTTTCATCTTGTTTTCAAGCACAGGAAACCTGTTGATTTTAGTCTGTACTCATCCAGGGGCTTACTTGTGGCAGTAGTAAACACAGTGACAACTCTCTAGTGAGAAAGCACACCGTTTAAGGATGGGAAAGCCTACATAGTATGCAGATTGATGGCTTGGCTTCGTGAGTGAAGATTTGGGAAGGGCTTTAACCATGCTTACTACAAGCATGATGACCAAGGGCAGATGGGTATGCAAATCGAAAAAAGGGAGCTTAGGCAATCAGGGGGTGTCCGACCAGGACTGTTATCTCCTGAGCGATTTCGAGCTACCCGTGCGCTGGTCTGCCCCACCTGCAAGGTTGGATCTGCAGTTACCCATGCACCTTGTCACCTGCCGTTTCGATCCTCGTCTGTCCAGACAAGTGAGAGTAAGCCCTTCCAGCCTGAGCAGTGGGTTTTTAAGGTGAAGCGCACCTTGCGCAGAACTGGTCCCACCTTTTACACCTGAGGTTTAACTGCCATGGCCAAGTTACCTAGGACAGTGACAGCAAAGTCCACAGGTCGTAGATTTTGTAAGAGTGTCCTTCTCTGATGGAAGACCATACCCATACAAGGCTAGACAAGCTCCATCAGCCCGGGTTTGAATGTAGGAGCTTTCCTTCTCCTTTGAAGGAAGGCCTGTCTTCGCTGACGAAGATTCGGGAAGACCTTCACCCACGCATTCTGAACAGGACAGTCATCTCCAGGGCCAATCACAAGCGACCGATGACGCAATAGCACAACAAGCGATGGCGGGATACTTAGAGGCATTCAGTCATAAGCCCGCAGATGGTAGCCTCGTGCCAGTGGCTCCTCAGCCAAGCGCACAGTATGCATATTAAAAGCCATTTATAACACAGCATAAAAAGACACCAAATAGAGTAAACCTTCTAGCTGTCAACCTAACCTAACAAATGATGCAGATGTGACAGAAAGACAAAAACTTGTATTTGTTCCAATGAGACTATTAACACTTGTGTTAGGGACCATCTCTAGATGGAAAAAAAAAGAGTCAGACTAAATGTGTTTAACTTTCGGTCACTGCTAACATGAGCAGATTTGGAGGAGGTGGCTCTCCACTCTGCATTATGCTCAAGTCCCTTCCATTCCCATGGAGGTTTTCTTGTGAAAGCCCTGGACAACTGACCCAGATTTATTTTGCTTGTATAAAAAGTGTAAACAAAATCATTGTTTACCCTTAAATAGCTAACTTTGGCATCCTAATTCAAATATTGTCAGTTATAAGATACAGTGAAGGTCATTCAGAACAAACTCATAGTGTACTGCCTGTCCAGGTGTACACTCATACTTTGTGGTAAAGTGAGGTAATGGGCCCCTCTGCAGCTCACTTTGCTAAGCTTTGGTTACCTAGCCATAGCCTGTGAAAAACCTTTGGAGATAATCACCTACCGCTGTTTCCATTTTTTGACCATTGCACCAAACATCCATCGTGTCCTTTTCTGTGAAGAAAAAAAGTAGAAAGAACAAGGTATTTTTTTCCCTTACAGACAAGAAGATCTAAGAATTTTAAAGATCTACTGTGGAATTTTACTTTCAGCTCCCAAAACAAGTTCCTTGTTAGCCATAGTACCCAGGCTACAGGGCTTGTTCTCATACTGGAGAGATGGGAGGCTCTGGCATCAACGGGCAAACAACTTTTGCTATCAACATAAATTTTTACCTCTCCCTAGCCCTGGCTACTGTTCTGGGTTGTTCTGAATATTGTCAGAGATATTCTGACATTCTTTAACTGAAAAATTTGAAGAAAGAAAAATTCCGGAATTTCTGCTCATTATCTGAGTGCTGCTCATCCAGTGAAGCTCTAACATCTTCTTTCAGATCAGCAGTGTTACTTAACATGCTTTACCTGGACAACTGTCTCACTACACTGCTAGGGCTTTCTTTTCTGTTTTTTTTTTTAAATCTAGACCATGCTGCCGTAGGCTCACACAGGCGTAACAAGATCATTATTTTTCAAGCTGTCTAATCCTAAACTTCCAGACCTAGGATTTTACACTGCAACAGTTCTAGTCACTGAACTGTGCTTTCTCTTCATTATCAGTTATTAAATGCATACAAGTTTACTCAAAGGCAGCAACACAAAGTCATTCAGCGTTTACTTACCTAGAACAACTCTATAGTCTGCACCACCCAAAGTCAGTACCCAAGTATTGGTTGTTTTTGACCTGTTCTCCATATACTTCTTGAGACTCTTCCCATTGATCTCCAAAGTATATTCATACGCAAAGCCACTGATGGCATCAATGTTAATAGTAGCTTTTGTTTTGGATGCTCCAACAGTGAATGTTTCTTTACCCACTAATTTAAACATCCATTCTTTCCTTATTTCTTCCTGCAGAATAAAATAAAGGCAATGGGTATTAATTGATAAAATATGAATGCATGTTTTAGTGTAAGAAAAATTAACTAGAACTTGGGAAACAGCTCAGTACTTAACTATTACTCCAGAAAGAATGAATACATGGTATTTTCTGTATCTACAATGCCTCTGCCCAAGGACAGCAAAGCACTTCATGAATATTCATACCTTAACTGTAACTGAAAAAAGAAATCAGCTAAAGTTAATCAACTGAATACACCTCGCTTGCATTTATTAGTCTTTTTGTTTGTTCTGATGCCTGTTGCATGGAAGTGCATTTATATAATCTGTAGCATAGTGGATTTTGAGCACACAGCAATTTCACCTTTCCATCAACATAGACGACACGTTTTCCTGAAGTGGTCCCATGTTCAAATTCAATCTTATGAACACCATCACTTAAAGCTACTTCCCAAACAGCCACCAAATCTGTCATCTTCTCTAAGTGGCTGTAGAGAGACCTATGGAAAAAACAGTAAAGTAAATCAATTGTCACTGAAAGAGTTCAATTGTAGAATTGTAGAATTAACCAGGTTGGAAAAGACCTGTAAGATCATCAAGTCCAACCATTACCCCAGGACTGCCAAAACCACCACTAAGCCATGTCATTAAAGGCCTCATCTCAATGTTTTTGAAACACTTCCAGGGACACTGATTCCACCACTTCCCTGGGCCGTCTGTTCCAATGCCTGATCACCTTTTGGTGAAGAAATTTTTCCTAATACCCAGACTAAATCTCCCCATGCGCAGCTTGAGACATGTCATTATGAGATTAAAATGTGGTTTTTTAAATCTCTCTCCTACAATTCAACCATTTTCATTGCTTTATCTAATTAAATTCACTAAGAGTTACCAGACAATAGGAGCTGTAGCCCCATTTCCTGATCTGACAAATTTAAAATAAATAAATTATACATGTGCACACTGCCGTAAAGGATCCTCTCCCTTAGGCATCCGACATCCTTGAAGAACTGCTATCAAACCCTAACACATGACAGACAGAAGGAGGAATCCAAGCCAGGGAAAATTCCGTATCAAATTGGGAATTACTGATGTTTATACTTCAAAGTTTACTGCATCAGGGCAAGTCACTTTTTACAGATGAAAAGTGAGAATTGAAAGAATAAGCCTACATAATTGCTTCTTTTTTCATGTTTTTCAAACACTTAAATATGACAAAATATCACAAAATATAAACAGACACTTAAACAGACTCACTTTGACAAACACCATGCAAAGACATATATATTCATCTAACCTCTATAATTTCCTCTTCAGGTGACAGTATGGTTACAAAATTACACTTGGAATTCAGATGCTCTTGGACAGTTCTGCAATGTCTTGGCAGGCATTAAAATACAGTATTTTGATTGGTCTCTGAGAAAGCGTTTTAGCATTTTAAACTTGAAAACTAGTCAGGATGACCAGTTTAGCTTTTACCCGTTTTAACAGCTTTCTCTGTCATCTTTCTCATACATTATGTACATCATTCAGCAATGCAACTCTGCACACAGAAACACTCACAAAGGCAGAGATCTGGCAAGATAATCCTTTCATTTAAGTAATCTTTAAAGTTCAGATACAATCAGAAGTGACCACTGGGACTACGGATATCTTTCCAAATCTGCCCATAGCACAATGCCTCTTTTTCAGTTTAAAGTCATACCACAGTGATTTTTTTACCTTACTTCATCTTCACAGATAGTAATCTCCTCATGGGATGCCATAGTAACCTATTAATCCAATTAGCAGCAAGAAATAAAAGAAGAGCAGAATAGCAGCAGAGAAGCGTTGAGGCCTAGATTTCCCCTGTTTACTCCATTCAAGACAAAGGACATCTTTTAAAGTGTCATGAACTATCATGTACTGCCGTATATATGATGACATACAAACATATTTCTTTCCTCTTAAGACAGAATGGCAAATGTAAGTATTCTTTTACAAAATCAGAAGGTGCAATTTATCCTAGTTTTATCAGCACATCAGCTTTCTCAGTTACTTGATGGAAAAATGGTTTCCCTAACTTGTGAGCAAGAGCTTAAAAACAAAGAACTTGACCAAAACAGGAACCAGTTCCAGAGCTGCCCATCTCAGTCACAAACTGAAGCAAATCAGGGACTGTTGCCACTTTTTGGAAAGCAATATAGCACAGGCAGCAAGGCCAACTAACTAATTTTATTAAACCACTGCTATCTGCATTGTCTGTGCATATCAGTAAGCATAATTTAAGTAAGTACAAATAAGCTATTTTTTTATGAATTGCACTTTTCAGTAAAAAATTAATTAAAAGTGAAGTTATAAGTTCTAGGGTCTCTCTTCAGCAGAACAGAGGACCCATTTTAAATGCACCAGCAGAGGTGCATTTAAAAACTAAACCTCCTTCACCCTGTCTTAAGCTCCTATTTTAAAACATGCTCAAGTACACTGTAGTATTACTGTTGTGGTTTTGTCAGTACACACATTTCTGTTCATAAACTGAAAATTAGGTTTTACTGTTCCTAAAACTTTTCTAAGGATCCAAGGATTTAATTCTGACAGTAGTGAGATTGTTTTGGTTGTTCCTAAAATTAAGGATTGGTTTCTGTGAAGGCTCCCATCCTCTGGCACATGGTGGAAGTCAGCCTGGGTATATTTCATAGAATCCCAGAATCATTTGGGTTGGAAAGGACCTTAAAGCTCACTCAGTTCCAACTCCCTGCCATGGGCAGGGACACCTTCTACCAGACAAGGTTGCTCCAAGCCCCATCCAACCTGGCCTTGAACACTGCTAGGGATGGAGCATTTACCACTTGTGTAACCTGTTCCAGTGTCTCACTGCCCTCACAGGGAAGAATTTCTTTCTAATGTCTAATCTAAATCTACCCTCTTTCAGTTTAAAGCGATTCCCCTTTGTCCTGTCACTACATGCCCTTGTAGAAAGTCTCTCTCCAGGTTTCTTGTACCCCTTTAGGCACTGGAAGCTGCTCTAAGGTCTCTCTGGAGCCTTCTCTTCTCCAGGCTGCACAACCCCTGCTCTCTCAGCCTGTCTTCATAGCAGAGGGGCTCTAGCCCTCAGAGCATCTTTGTGGCCTCCTCTGGACTCGCTCAAGCAGGTCTACGTCCCTCTTCTGTTGGGGGCCCCAGAGCTGAATACAGTGGAGTAGGGGGTCAGGAATCAGCTCCCTCAACCTACTGATCATGCTTCTTTCAATGCAGAGCAGTATGTGGTTGGCCTTCTGGGCTGCAAGTGCACACAGCCAGCTCATGCCGAGCGTCTCGTCAATCAACACCCCCAAGTCCTACTCTTCAGGGCTGCTTTCAAGCTATTCTTATTTCGGTACTTCCCTCTTTCCTTCTCCTCAAAGGAGCAGGTGCCAGGCTTTCAGGACAGACCCAGCTTCTCCCTGCCAACTAATCAACACAACAAGTGGCCTCAGGTACAAAAAGAAACACCAGAAGAGCTGGCACATGGCGCATGTCTACAGGCTACCCACAGCGATGGCATTACACCTGGCAGGATGCAACCCTGCTGCATGAAACTAGCATTAGGATTGATTAGGATCAATGCCACAGGGGTTAGGAAGCATCCCAGAACATACAACTTCCTTTTTTTTTTTTTTTAACAAATCATGGCACTGTAGTACTCAAACCTGAACTCAAACTCTAGGCCAGCTCTATGTCTTCTGAAGGGCAGCGGGTACCCCAGGTGCGAAGGGAGAGCCGTACACTGCCTGTTGCAGCCAGCCCTCCCACGTCCCCTGGCTGGCTCCCATCCAAGGAAACGGGTTTGCACTGACTGCCGAACGCCAGGCATCTCTCTGCATGTTCCGTTAAACAGTCAGCAGTCCAAAATGAGATTTACTTCTTTATCCATAATGACTTGCTCTGAAAAATAAGTCTAGAATTACGGCTCTGCATCCATCTAATCCATGCCTAGTAACAGACAAGAAGAGATGGGGCACTAGCAAGTGTATGAATTACACAGACGTCAAGTTTCACCACACCACCCACATTTACTGCCAGCAAAGATTAGGGGGGTTTGTTTGTTTTTATCTAAGCTGACAGCCACACTTCTAAACCCTCGTCAAGCAGCTTACTGCGATCGCCTTGATCCTCCATACCCCGCGGAGACACGCGGCTGCCCGACCCCCCGGCAACACAACCCCAGCTCGACCCACCCCTCCGCCGGGCCGGGGCAGCGGCAAGAGGCAGAAGCACATACGCCGGACACACGGTCTGCTTGGTCTGCTTCCTCTCCTTCCTCCTCCTCCTCTAACGGCCCGGCGGTCTCCACGGAGCCCGGGAGACGCTCCCTCCGCCCACGCGGGCCCGACCTCCCACCAGGCAGTGTTGGAACGGAAAAGGACTGAGCTCCGCGGTGCCTGAGAAAGGATCGGGCCGCCGCAGGCGGGCGGGCAGCCGAACGAGCAACGGAGCCATCCCCGCACCTCGCCGCTCCTACCTGCGCGGGACTCTCCTCCCCCTCGGCTCCCCGTGCCGCAAAATGGCGGCGTGCGGCCAGCGCCGCCCCGCGGCCGACCGCCTCCCTCCTTCCCGCCCCGGCGGCGCGGGCGGGCCGTTACCGCTTTACCCGGCCCACCGCGCTTCCCGCCGCAGGCAGTCCTGTAGGAAGCTGTGCCCCGTCGCTCAGTGGGACCTGCCGAGGCTGCCGATCCTGGTGACTAACCTCTTTGCTCTCCTGTATCCCGGTGGCTGTCTGCAGGCCGCGGCAGTGGGCCCGGCCCTCTTTGCTGGCGATCCGGGAGCGGACGGCCCTCGCCATGATAGAGGTACCGTGGCGAACCTGAGGCGGATGTTGTTACTGCTCGGTAGTCAGAAAGGAACAGAAAGAAAACAAAGAGCAAACCCCCCAGGGCAGGCGCCCGCGCCCTCTGGGGGCTTCTCCCGCGGCTGGGGCAGGGGACTGAGGCTGCCTGCACCCCTGGCGCGTTGGGGTTGACCAAGGGCTGGGTGTTCTAAACCTTCACTCATTGCACATCCTTCTAGTAGTGCTGAGGGAAACTGAGTGCTCTGGATATTGTTAAATACACTTTACACCAGTACTTGTTTCAGATCATATTGGAATGTCTCACAAGCCCTACTACAGTGACTGGGGCTTTTGGGGGCTTGGGGTTGGTTGGTTTTTATTTGGGAGCATTTGGTATTTGCTGCTGCCTGCACAATAGGAAAGGCAAGGAGACCATGAGCTGATCTTGAGAACTTGGGTTTCTGTCTCCTTCTCCCACCTGCAGCAGGAGAAGGCTGAATGGGAAAACTTAAATAAGCTATTAATGCGTCATGGGTTGAAACCAGTGAGTCTTGCTGCCCCCCAAAGCTGCAGAAATACAGCAGGTAAGGAAATGCTAATTTCACAAGGTTTTGTGTTTTGAAATAGTAAGCCTAAGTTCATAAGGCATCTCTAAAGCTGTCACTTCCAAAGGGTAGCCGAGATGTGATCTTCTTCAGATACTGTCCCTGGCAGTGTTCATGACCAGGTTGGACTGAGTCTTGGGTAACATGGTTTAGTGTGAGGTGTCCCTGCCCATGGCAGGGGGGTTGTATGATGCGCGGATTGACTCCACAACTCGTTAAAAGTTGTAAAGTAGGTATGCTTTTTATTCAGCGCTGAGACGCACGGGGATAATTCCTCAAAGTCATGCATGCCTCAGTGTTGTTTCCCTGTACATTTATTCTCTAAAGTTACATATATTCATAAGGTTGCACAATACGCCTATACATATTCATGGCCTATCCCCGCTTCGTATTATAATGAGCCAGAAGGTCCTCTGCGCCTGCGCAGTGCCCCCTCTGGTCATGGGCAGGGGTCTCAAGATGAAGTAAATGAGTCTTCCTCCTCTGGGTAGGGGTCTTCAAGACGAAGTAAATGAGTCTTCCTCTTCTTGCACTTTTCACCTTTTTAGTCTTTATGTGTGGCCTTAGAGTTTGGTCAGTGTCCCAGCCGTAAATCCTCTACTTCTCCCCTTTATCAGTAGAGTTTGATCAGTGTCTCAGCCGTAAATTCTCTGCTTCTCCCCTTTATCAGTAGATTCAGGCATCTGCTTATTAACAGGACCGGAGGTCTCTGTTCTGCTTAGCAGGCATTTACAACAGATAGTCCTTTTGTTTAAACAAATTCCTCTAACCCCCCTGTACAACCCCCCTGTACAACCCCCTTGTACAACCCCCCTGTACAATGGTCAACCCTCTGTATCATGTAGCTAGATGATCTTAAGGTCCTTTCCAACCCTAACTATTCTATGATTAAAAGCCTTTCATTATGACTGCTTATTTTATGTATCTCCAGATATGATTGTCTTAGACAGTCAGTCTTCTCTAGGAATAAGACTTGCATTAAAAACACTGGTGGAAGACACTGACCGACAGCAGAAAATGATGCAGGGGCTTATGGAGACCAATCATTCTCTTAGGTAAGAATAAGCGGTGGAAGGAGCTTACTTGCTAATGCACAGGAAAAGCATTACCAGTGTCCTACTCCTGACAGGTGGAGCTCTTGTTACACCAGCAGCTTCAAACTGTTTTCCTAAGATTATTGGCCAATATGCAGCAACACTGGCCTAGTTCCTTTTGTGCTCTTCTGCTATTTCATCTGCTGCTGTTTCACATACCTGCTGCCACAGGCTGTTATTGAGCGTCATCAGATAATATTGTCAGGCCTGTGCTTTCTTCACTGTCTTTAGTGAAATGAGTTTAAATTAAGGATTTTTTTGTTTTTTCAGAGACAAGATCCGTCAGGAAAGCGGTCGGGCATCTCGACAAGAACAACGGGCTAATGATTTGGAAAATGTGGTGAAAAATATTAAGTCCAAAATTTGCCAGCTGGAAGATGAGACGATAGCTAAAGTTTGCCAGCAACAGAATCAAGTCAGAGAACTTCAAAAAGATCAGCAGGCTTCACAGGTAATTCAGATAGTGCTGTCTGAGGATTCAAACTTCTGACTTGTTTTAAAAGCTCTAAAAATATTTACATTGATCAAACCAAGCATGAGTTCTGGGCCATAGAGTTAGTACATTGTTTATAGCTAGGATTTTTCAATCTATACAAAATTTTCTAGCAGTAACTTTGAAAAATACCTGTATCTTTCTTTCACTGCCTGTTCGGTATGGCTGAAACTGAGCCTCCTTGAGACCAAGTGCCTATCTGGACACGTACAGTACTGTCTCCAGTTTGTGGGTTAGAATAATTTCATAACTCTCCCATTATCTGTTCACAGGCAAAATACCGGCAACAGCAGGAGAAGCTGCAAGAACAGGAAGAGACAATTGCCCATTTGCAGAAGGAGCTGTGCAAAGTTGGCCTGGAGGAGCAGCGGCGTGTTGCCACTCAAAATAAAATGTTTTGTCGTTTTTGCAAAAGAGCTCCCAAGTCTCTTCTAGATCAGCAGTAAGCAATTTTCTTATGTTGGTGAGCGACCTATAACATTAAATGAAGAAATTGATTTTAGAGTAACTGTTCTCAATATTTATATTTAAGAAAAAAAATAAAAGGCTGGAGACCTTAGGAGTGCAGGCTGAAATATGAATTCTTGCACAGGTACATCAGTGCAGGGATTTAAAACAATGTGAGCTGTATAAAACCATGGCAGAAATTCAAAACGTACACGCTAGGTGTCAGCAAAGAGAAGGGAATGATCCACTCTACTCTGGAGCTCCATGTCTGTTAGGGTGATCTCGTCCTGGGACTCTTAACGTTTAAAAATGTAAATTAAAAAACAACCAGAGAAGAAAACAACAAAGACTATCCCCAGCCTCACCAGAAAGAGCCCTTCCAGTTCTGGAAAGTGGTCTTTGCAACTGCAGACTGAAGGTTTGCTGCAAGGCTTCCCAGGTACTTTAGGGAAAGTTCTGCAAGTATTCCAAGCCTGTGTCTCTTGCAGTAAGATCTCCATAGTTCTGCTGTAATCAGATTTGACAGCTCTTAGGCCCCAGGTAGCCAGACTTTATTGGGCTGCTGTCAGCTGATTTCCTAGGCCTGGCTAGCAATGTTTTCCTGAGTAGCATTTAAAAGGGATTGTGTGTGCACAGCCCTCACTTGTGCCCTCACTCTATGAGAGGGAGGATCACTGAGTTTGGTTCCCTGTGCATTCTCACGTCTCTCCAAAACAGGCAATCTCAGAATGCTCAAGAGGAAATTCAGTTTCTCAGCTGTTCAGTTTTTTGTGTGTCTAGGTTTTGCAACCACTCTGAAAGCATATTTAGTTTCTTCAGAGATGGATGTTCTCGGGCTGTGTGGGACCTGTGCTTTCACCTCCTGCAATGGTCGCAGAGCCCTAGCACTCAAGACTGTGACTCACTGTTACGCTTGCTGGGGAAACAGTCACAAGATGATGAGGCTCTCAGGAGAATTTAACTTTTTTCTCCTCTTGAATAATTTTGCTGCTTTTTAGGCTAGTGCGTAGTTAATGTCTGTTCTGTTCTGAAAAACTGTGACCATGTTTGGTATGAGAGAGAACCTTCTTGAAGCAGTCACTTCTGGAGCATAGTGCAGATGTACAAACTGGCCTGTTCCAGGCATAATTTTTATTGGTTTTGGAGAATATCTGAGATTCAGTAATGCCATTTTCCTTTCTTTAGGTTCCTTTGTCTAATTGACTACTATGAATCGCAAATTAGCGAAATGAAAAAGGAGCTGAGGTAGGTCTCATCTGTTCTGTACTACTGTTCAAAATTTTCGTACTCCTTACTGTTCTTTAATCTTATAATGGTAAATTTTCTGTGTTCCAGATGTCACTAGCATGTAAGAAACAGCAAAGAATTGTAATGGTCATGGAAGTTTAGATTCATCCAGGGAATAACTGTCAGTCAGTCTGAGCAGCTGGTCATGCAGAAGGCTGGGACAGCTAGGAAGTTGGGTTTTTATTCTTCCCTTCCTCTTTTGCCATGGTTCACAGGCAGAATTACTGCATTAGCTGCACTCAGTTAACTCATCTCCCTGAACAAGCAGGCTGCCAGCTTTTCAGCTTTGTCGTGGTGCCTAAATGGTACAAAGCAACAAGCTGAGATACCTGAAGTGTTCCTATCATTTGAGATTATTATTATCGTGAACAAAGAAATGCGATTTGCTTGTATGGGAATTTCTCTCCAGGAATAAGTGTACTTAATTAGTATATGAAACAGCTTCCCAGAAACAATAGAGAGGAGCAGTGGATCTTAGGGCAAAATTTCTAATCTATTTACTTTGCAGTTTATGGAAATATTATTACCATATATACTGCTAACTAAACCAACATAGATCTTTGAGGTAATCAAACTGAAACAATTTATGTTTCCCAATAGGCAATATAAAAAAGATGAAGATCAGGTACTGAAAGAAGTGAAAAGCAAGGAAGAATTCTTAAATCTAGATGCTACTCCTAATTACAGAGCACTGCTCACGGTATGGAACTGCTAAGAATAAGTCTGTGCAGATCTCTAAATGGTAACTTTTAAAATGCCATGTAGAAACATACGTGTATTTGATGCCTATCCCCTTGTTCTTATCATGTGTTGTTCCTAACTTGCACACTCTCTGGGTAGGGTTCACTGTCTTTATGAAAGATTCAGTGCTATTTTGTGAGTTGTCTTTGCTTGAGGACTGTATAACCTCCTTAATCACAGGTTCTCCAACTGTCGTCTAATGCAGCAGGCTCTTGATCTTAGTTGACTAATTCCTCATCCACACTGTCTTGCTATATGGGCAATTGGGAGCTCTTCTTTAACACATACATACTTTAAATTGTTAAAGCTTGTTGATTATGGAATGAGTGAAATAAGAGAAGTAATACAGCCTATGTTGCAGTCTTTCCAGAAACAACTTATTGAAACAAAAACCAGGAATGAGCAGCTTTTGCTTGAAAATATAAATCTCAAGAAAGATTTGGAAACAAGGTGAGAAAGGATAAGCATCATCCTTTGCAAAGGCACTTCAGCAGACTGCTTTACAGAGAAAGAAGCCAAAAGCACCATCATTGTAAAAGTGTAGTATGGAATCTGCCTTTTAAAGTGATATGTAGAAATAAGAAATGTCAGCAACAGTCACCCTTCCCTCTGTACGCTGTTAGTAACAACAACTGCTGATGGTTAGTCTGCCATTTATTCTCTTACCTTGTGGAAATGCTGCAGAATTTCATTTGCAGAATGCTGCTGCAGCAGTGGCAAAGCTTGCTTACTCTTTTCACTTGGCTGAGTTTTATAGTTACCTTCAAATGCAAGACATACAATATGGTACTTTTTCTTGCTAACAGACCAACTGCACAGGAATTAAAACTTTACAAGCACCAAGTGAAGAAACTAGAGAAAACTTTAAAGAAAACTATCAAGTAAGTATATTTCTTCCGTAACTTCCATGAATCCTCTGAACATCTGAAGGCAAAGATACTCTGCACCCTGTAACGTAGATAGCAGCTTATAAAGCATGTACCTTATCCCCATTTCTGGGAGCCTGCCTATAACCAGCAAATGCTACTGTATCTCCAAAGACACACTGTGAATCTCTGAAATGATGGTGTGGTCTGTTTGGGGGGCACAGCAGTGTGTCTTTTTTTATTTCATTTTGTCTTTCTGGATTGGATTTGAGTAGCCATATGGACAGGACCAGACTGTGGTGTTTGTTGCTTCCATGGGCTGTAAAGAAATCTACTGGTTACATTGTGGATTATGAATGAGAAAGTATGAGTTGACAAAACGTTGCAGCCACTGAAGTTATGTCCATATTATTCTTAGAAATTGACTTCATTTTTTCTGAAACATTACTAAGAAAATACCTTGAAGGTATTAGAAATCCAATGTTGACAGAGCGTTTTTATCTATAATTTCACTTAATCATTTGTGCATGTGTATACTGAATGATAAAAATTTTATAGTCTGAAAAAGACATCACTTGCTTAAACTTTAAAAATGTTCTTCATTTTACATCAGGTATATTTACATGGTCTTTTCTCTCTTGCAGTGGATGGGATTTAAAGGTAGTTTTATAGAAAGTCATCTCAGATTTGACAAGAAGAATAGTGAGCTATGTATAGAAAGCCAGGAAAGATGTTCAAGCAGATAAACACTGTGAGCATGGCATTTGACCCTTTTGAGTAAAATTCTGGATTTTAAGTCTTCAGCCATAGTAGAACTTCTGTAACAGAACAGCTGTGCAGCTGGTGGTGTCCCTTCTAAATCAGCATGCAGTCTGGAATAACCTCAGCCTGGAGACTGGAGACAAATTAATGATGCTTACATAGGTATTACATTTTTCAGCTAGCTTGGTTTGATGAAATTCTGTTGGCAGGTGTCATATAATGAAGATTTTTACTTTGTAGGTGTATGTGTACTTCATACTTGGTTCTTAGTCAAGTTGAAAGTAGTACCTCCTTGTAAGGCTACTTATGTAACCCACTGTATGTATTTGGCATGTAGATCTTCAGAGAGTAGTACCGGAGAAAGAACAGAAGAAAAGAAAGAATCTGAGAGTATCGCAGGGGTGGATAGGCTGCAGGCAGTTTGCCAACAGTACTTAAAGGTATGCAGATTTTATCTGTGCTTTGTGTATCTAGCACTATTACTACAGTGAAATATAACATACGAGTTTTGTTTAAGCATGTAAACTGAAGCATGCTATTTTGAATCTAAGAGCTCATTTGAAGTCCTCCACATGAGATGTGTAATGTTCTGGATTTGGCAGTTAATGTAGGCTTGTTCTTAATTTTCTTAATTGTTACATCTTAGTGTAAACTACCTGAAAATACAGCATGAAAGCAGAAGCTAGGTTGGGAACCATCAAATGAATGATTTAGCTGAGGTCTTTTCAGGACAGGGGATTTGTTCGAGGTCTTGTGCAGTACAGATCCTTACGTTACTGTTTTAAACATGCCTGAGGAGAGAGTGGCTTTTATTTTTCTTTGAATACAAAAAAAAAAAGCAAACATAATAAAACTTAGCAAAATGTAAACTGTGAAAAGAACAATGCCTCAAGTGTATAAATGTTACCTATCCCCAAAGGGGAGTATGTTTGCGTTGCTTTTATGTATCTTCCAGCTAGTATATTTTTAAATCTTTGAAAGTATTACATATTGAATGCTTCTGTAAAATTCATTGATAATAACTTATTGGAGCTATTTGTAATTTAACATTTAGACCATCATGACTGTGGTAGAGAGGGATTTTATTATAAAATGTTGTACATATTTGAAGAATAACATTTGTTATTTGTTGTTGAAGGTTTTGTCCCATATTGATTCTATCTTGCAAAGCCCAAGAGCTCCTCCGTTAATATACAGGCGCAGTAAAGGGCCAGTGCAAAATTACATTAAAGAGAATGGACAGGAATGTGGATTTGAGCACCTTTCACCCACTATAGAAATGTGGGCAGATCAGCTAATGGCCCTGAAGGTAATGCATTATTGTACTTGGCTTTATATTCTTCCTATAATCCAGTGACCCCTCCTTGGTCCCTTCCTATATGTAGGGTTTTTTTCTGTGCGCAGCTTTTGTTATTGCCTGACTTGGTGTTAAATTTTAAAAATGATTCTGCTATTTATATGCCATTTTAAAACATAGTGGGTGAAAAATGCGCAGTGTTCCTACACACCAGAGGTATTCCTCTGTGTATATCATCTAAATGGGTTTGTTCACCACCTAAGAAGGCACTTAAATTTTAGAGTTGATGTGCTTCGTGCGTTAATGACGATCCATTCTCTTTTTCCCCTTTGTCTTGTCCAAACAGTAACTTTCTGATCAAAATACAAGTGAAGGAATTCTGGTTAAAGCCAAACTCCTGTGACCAGCACTTCTTATTTCACTGAAACTTTAATATTTGATGTACTTTAGTTGTAGAGTACCAGGTTAAGCAAGGCTGTAAGAATGTAAGCAAGATACTATGCTGAAGTTCCATGAAAACTAAACCTGTACTATCTCCAGTATAAGAATGTTTTTGCATATGAGAAACAGAAAATCTCCCTGTTTCTGTAATAAAAACACCCTCAAGCAGTTACTAAAATAAGTTGTGTCCCCTCCTGTCCTTTAAAAGGATTTGCATAGGTCCTTGAGAAAACTGTCTCTGGAATTGGCACCCTGGCACACTGAAGATCTACAAGACAACAGGGAGTCTATACGAGTTGAAGACCTCCAGTTCATAGTAGATGCCATTTTGGAAGAAATAGAAAATAAGGAAAAGGTAATTCTTCCAGGGGTTTATAATCACATGTTACTGTGGAAATCTCAAATGTGGTCTTACCATGGTGATTAGATTTTTGCATTTGAAAGCCTCCCGGGGTTTAACAAATAGCTGTTTGAAGACATTCAATAGTCAGAGACTATTTTAATATAATGGATAAATTCACCTCGGGGAGGACTGCTTTAATCAAAGTCATTTGATCAGCGAGGAATTTGCATTGCCCTGTAGTCTCAGGTTATCCTGTTCTGTCTGTTTCTCAGTCAGCATTGAGAATACATAAATGTACTTGCTAGGCAACAGAGGAAAACTTCAGAGTTTTTTTAGTTTGCTGGATATTTGTGTCTGAAAACTCTCTTTTCAGTATGTCTTCAGATTTGAGAATATTTGAAATGCCGTGATTTAATAAGGGCAGTTACACCCGTTTTTCTTCATAGACTAGTTTTAAGACTGCTTATTGTTTAAAAGAATCCTTGCTTTGTGAAGCAGTAACACTGACGAGTCGCTCCTTCTGCTTGCTACAGAACAGCCAGACACCATCCGTACCAACCCTGTTAGCAATAGTCTCTCACTTCCAGAAGTTGTTTGACGTGAATTCTCTCAGTGGCATTTATCCACGAATGCATGAGGTTTACACAAAGCTTGGGGAAATGACCAACGCCATGAGAAATCTCCAGGAGCTCCTGGAACTAGGTAAAGACTTGCCACCTAGCATATGTTCACACCATTTCCAAAGGGAGAAGACAAGCAAAAGCCTCATCTCTCCATTGAAAATTTGGTGAGATGATAGGAAATGTGTAAACCAGGTATATTCTTCACTGGAAAGATAAAAATAGGTTAATTGGCAGTTTAAATAGCAAATCCCCATTATTTGTAAGCCTTTGGTAGTTGCTGAGGAATACGAGGGACACGGATCAGAAGAGTAACAGAGGAAATTGATTTAATTCTTGACTATCTACTCTAAAGATAACAAGTTTTAGAAAAAAATAACTTGGCCTCTGCTGTAGATTTCTCCTCAGTGATTCATTCTAGTGTATTTATGTCCAGTCCTCAGAAACTTCCATCTTATGCTGCTAAACTTAGCTAACATTAGTTTATTTCTGATCTGCCTATCACAGGCACTTAATTTTCTGTGAATGGTGGAACTTGTATGACTAGGTGTGGGAAAACCAAATAAAATCTGGGCACCTGCAAGAACTGGATTGTGTCAAAAAAACTTTCCTGTTAACACTGTTACAAGGAACATGAAGTGTTTGTTTTTCCATAGACAGCTCGGCTCCACCCACTGTGGTAGTGGATACTGTTGGGAAACTGTGTGACATAATTAATGAGGACGTGACTGAGCCGGTACAGCAGCTTCTGGGGACCCAGGACGTCCACAGGTATGTGCAGCTGCTCCACCAGCGGCCCTCCTGCAAACATCAAATCTCCTAATTGAGAGGACAGGCTAGAATGGATGCTGAAAGAAGCTTCACTTATTGGTTACAAAGTCAGCAAGCTGCAACAGTAAAGGAGTTGCTATGATCCCCCATGAAACAAATCCTGAATATTTTCAAAAGGATAAAGAGGGCAGAGAGAAAAGTCAGAAGATTCCAAAACCCTTCCTTGGCTTGCATGGATGAGGTGATCAAATGATGTTTCATAGGATGCATGTTGCATAAGAAGACAAAGCAAATACTGCACGTGGGTAGGGAGGAGAAAGTGTTGCAAAGTTTCAGCTGTAATGTACAGGTTGTTAAGAGAGTTGGCTCAAGCTGACTGCAAATACTCTGGGAACTGGACAAATTCTGTTGTATCTTCAGCAGATGATCACATACACACACTTGGTAGCAGACTGTATGAACTCACACTCAGCCTGTGCTCCACAAATGTACTAACACAGAGGCAGGTAGGGAGCCTGACATATGCTGAGTTAGTAATACTGACTCCCTCAGCCTTCCTGCACTCACCACAGTTTTAACTAGGGAATGGCTGCTTGTCAGATATTTCCTGCTCCACCTCTAAGGCAGTTATATCACCCACCCCCAGGCAGTATGTTTAGCATACACGAATTGATGTTCCAGTCCAAAAATTACCTGGTGCCTTGTAAGGAAGAAAGGATGTATGTAGGGCATGAAGAGTGAAATTAGAGCTCCTCTTTTGTCAGCTAATAGTTGGCTGCAATTTCAGAACTTAAACCCACATTTTTGGTGTAGATGGTTTTATATGCTGTTAAGCAGCAGAGTTATTAAAAAGTCATGGCATAGTATGACAAACTAGCAAAGAGATGAATTAAAAATGTCTTGGCACCTTTTATCTGACAGTCTCATTTGCACCTTTCAGTATAATCAATAAGTTAGAAGAACATGAGTGCTTCTTTCCACCATTTCAAGCTCTCATTCAAGATTTGCTCTGTCTTCTAGGTGAGTAATATTTGCAACAGTTGTAATTATCTTCACGCCAACACTTCATCCTAAAACTTTAAATAGCTAACAGATGTTTTGTTTACTGCTGGTGCACTGAAGCACAAGGAGGATGCAAGGCAAGGTGCCAACTTTTGCCTCACTCTCTTTCCATCTTTTCTCAGGAAGTGACTCAAATATATCATTTTTATTGAACAAGGGGTTGTATAGAGTCAATCATATTACTCGTAAGAGAAGCTAAATTTTTTGGTTTTCTCCAAAAGCATTAGAAAATGTGAGGTGTTGATTTTATTTGCTAGCTGTATTTCTAGCATCTTAGAACTCTGTCTGAACTCAAAGATGTTCTCAATACGCACACCTTACTGTTTTGATTTTTGTTCTGTTTCAGAGATCTGTAAGCTGGATGATATTTTACCTACAGTGCGAAAGTTGAAGTTGGCAGCTAGTTAAGGGTTACTCTGGTCTTCTTTAGCAAGATCATCTTACCTGTGACAGAACACATTGGTGCCTATGACATGACAGCTACCTCTATCCTCTATTACCCTAACCAAAAGACTTTTAACATAATTAAAAGCTGCTGCATTTTTCTTATTTTTCTTAATTCTTTGTCATTTTAAGAAAAACCCACTATAACTCCAGTCAGCCATCCTTGAAAGAGAACTGGTATGCTCTGTATCAGCCCAGGAAACTGAACCCAGCCCAAGGCCAGATGTGCTCTAACCGCTAAGCATTCTGAATGTTGCTGACACAGTAAGCATGAGATAAAGGTGCTCTAACTGCCTTAGCCATAACAGTTCCATCAATGGCCTGTGTTGGTTTGCTGGACAGCCTATTTTAAAATGTTTACATTTTCAGATCAGTTTGGGATGTGAGCAGATTTTTACTGTGTGAGTTATGTATTGCTGGTTATGGATGGAGGCAGACTAGATTTGTGTAATCTAAGCCAAATGTATTTGAAACTTGTTTCAGGTGGTGGTTTATGGGCTTCTGCCTAGCACAGATTTGAAGCTATATATTTCGAAAGGCATAGATCAAGATCATTATGCAAGACAGAAGTTTATTGTACAGAAACAATACACCAAGCTTCCAAAAATAGTTTTGGTATAATTTGCTCTGCTGTTAAGAAAGCTTACTTTACAAAATTCTGCTGTTCCTCAGGCAGAACACTTTACTATCAAGGTTTACAAGATTTTGAAATGTACTGCAATAAAGAACAAAATACGTTAAGGCATCACAAACTGAAACCTTAATGACTTGGTGAACTGATCTCCCTCCTCTTGGAAGCTCGTTATATACGTATCTGCCAAGATACTTTTGAACAGTGGAATAGCAATTTCTTAGTTTCTCAAAAACCAGTTGCCATTAGAGTCTGAAACAGGTTCTTCCAACGGCTTCTGTAGCCCTCAGATGAAGAATGCTGTTTAAAATTTATTCTGTGAGAAGTACAAGGCTTTCATGTTAAAACAACATGAATCGGATCCTGGGGAAACGAGACTGCCAAGCAAAGTAATAACACTGAGCTGACACTCTGAAGGATCTCCAGGCACAACACTTCCTTAAGAGGGTATCCATATTTGAGGGTTCTCTGGGAGAGAGGTGCCAGAAATAGCAAAAATAAAGAACTCCTTATTGAGGGGCAATTTATCCCAATGTGGGGCGGTTTTGTTTGTTTGTTTGTTTTTTTTTCTGAGTAGGATCCTTAAATTTACATGTCCTGAGCTGAAGACTGCTTCAGATTTGCAGTGACTGTTCAAAACACGTTAATTACAGGAGATATATACATTCTTACAAAGTTGAAAAATTAGTAACTTATGTACATGAGAAGAAATCATGTTTTCTTGCTCCTACTCCTTGTCAGCTCATACCTGCAAGACAGACACAAGTAATTACAGTTGTTGCAGACTTTCTTTAATGTTTTAACTGGCACAGTAGGGAGAACTTGGGCTGCTTTATGGCCTGTGCTCCACAGGCACCATGGCAAAGGAGCTGCGGGGACGGGGTCAGCCTTCACCAGGAACTTGGAATGAGTCATTTCCTCCTGCTCTGTAATTGCCATATCCCTCTGTGAGGCACACAGGCAAGCAGGGCCAAGGGAACTTGGTTTTCCCACCCTGTCTGCATGGATGGCAGGCTTCTGGACTACCCGTGCTTCATTTCTTGGGCTCCATTGAAGCAGAAAGAAGGAAGAACTACCACTGTTAACTACAGACATAGAAGGGGGAAAAAAACCAAACCTTGGTTCTCAGTCTTTGCCTCATTCCAATGCTTAACTGAACCACAATGAACACACAAGCAAAATTGCAAGTGGCTTATTATAATAGTTGCTGTAAATGCTTTGTAATTAAAGTTTTATCATATATATATATATTGCTGATCAGACTATTAATTTAGTTAAGATCTTTATCCAAGTTAAAATTTGTCACAAGGTTGCTTTAATAAACATAATTCTTTTACTTACGTTTCCCAGTGCCTTTCATGGTAACTTAAAATATGCTGAAGAGTATAATTGACATATTATAGTTGTTTCACAGGGCAGGTATTGCATAAGAAACTAGATTACCAGACAATTTAGATAAAACTACCAGATTAGCTCCAAGTTAGTCCTGTGTTTGTGGGTCATATGTTCTTGCTCGCCAAACCACAGGGCCCCTTTACCAGCACCCCAACAAGAGGTGCACAAGCTCCAGCAAAACAGGTGTCATGCTCTAAAAGCATGGAGATGAAAACTTACCACTGTGCAAAGCCTTTTATCAAGTCCTCCTGCGACAAGTCAATCCGCACCTTTAAAAAGCACATTTTCTTTCTGTGTATGTTATTCAGCATACAAATCGATTAGCTAAGCTAGCACTCCTCCCACATCAGACACACTTAAGGTTAGGCTCAAGGAGAAGGAGCTTCCTGAGCTCCCAGGACCTGGGCACTAGCCAGCCTCAGCACTGCCTCTGGCTTTCTTAGTATCACAACTTGAAGAAGTGATTCCAGTTTACACAGAAAGATTAAAGCACCACTGGCAAATTCTGGGTTTAATCACCTGTCGTTCTGAGCTTGTGCTACTGGAGCCATTCCCCAATAAGGCAGCAGCAGATCCCAGGAAACACGTTTTTACTTAAGAAGCATACCTTTGAAATGAAGCAGCACACAAGTCATCTGAGCCCATACAAGCTTCCACATGGGTACAGCCTGACTTCAAATGAAAATATGGCAGAAAAAGTTGTTTCCGGATTGCTAGTCCTACTTCTGAGGCTTAGTCACTAGAACCATGTTTCAGGATCCTGCCACTCAGAATGCTCAGCTCTATTAAACCAGTAGAGCAGCTTTGTTAAACTTACTTTCCCCAGCTCCTTCCTGTCCTGTGAAATGAATGGCCTGCTGTTCTTCACTGCAACGTCCAGCGTCCTTTTCTTGACATCTTCCAAAGATTCAAAGAACTCAAACCTAAAAGCAAAGTTTGGAAAGGAGAGACTTAACAGTTAAAATCCTATAAGCACTGGTGGCCAGAGAAGGATGGTAATGAAAAGGCAATTTTTATTTGCATTGTAAGAAATCTCTTCCAGGCCTCACACAAGATTATGACACTGTTGTTCAGACTGCTCACTGTGCCAGGGGGAAGGAGGAAGACATGCATCCATGATGAGATGCTATTTACCATCATTTTCCCCCTTCGTGGAAGATCAGCATGTTTTCCGTGCAACCTGCATTACTCAGAGGAAGTAGCTGAGCCAACCCCCTAAGTTTACAAAGTCAGTTTAAACCACATGAAGAGAAGACAAAGGTTGAAATCTGTGGCAATTAAGTTCTTAATGGCTCCGACTCATGCCTCTGGCACACATCATCTGATGTCAAGTGAGTTTTGTCCACGCTAAATCACTGAAGTTCTGCCCACCCGAATAGCTTTTCCTCACGTCAGAGTTGTAAAACAGGTAATGTGTTTTGGAGCTAAGTATTGCTCCACCTATTACACTTAATTGAGGATGTACAAGACACGTCAATACCGAGGATGAGGAAAAAGTGATGCTACTCTAACAGCTGTGCTGGCACAAGATCAGTGGTGTTACAAGAGAACAGTAATCCACCACTCTAGTGTTGAAAATGAAGTATTTTAAAATCTTTTCTCCATTTCTGACCTATACTGACATGTATAGGATGGACCCAACATAGGAAAACTGAGCCACCCAGGATCAGCCAATATTCACATACTTGTACTTTCCTCTAAATATGGGGTTAAAACAGCTTCTCAAAAGAGCTCTAAGCATTACTATGTTTGGTTTTATAGAAAACACGTTCCAGTTCAGTGGGGGAACTGTGGACATGAGACTGTCAGAGAAGAGGTGGGAGCATTTCATTCTGCTCCCATCAGGTCTCGATGAGAACATCCATCTGTCTGTGTCAAGAATGGTCCGGTCCCAAAAGGCTTTGTATTTCTGCCTTTGATTTTTGGAAAGCTGTCAGGGAAGTGTCAGGCAAAAAAGTACAAACTGAGGAAGTGGCTTTGTGAAGCATCCAAATGGAGAGATTGCCTCTGCAATAACAGGGAGTTAAACATGGGTAGGGGGATGTCTGCGTGCAAAGCAACAAGTGCAGGCTGCCCCTGCTAGGATAGCAGAAGGGGTGAGAACGGACACTACCGCAGACAGACCAAGGCCAGCCCCAAGTACTTGCAATCACAAAGTGCTGGGGTTTTCCATAAGACCTGCAAGTGTCCACAAGACAATCCTTAGCAGCACCAGGCACAAACCCTATGCATGCCCTTTCATTACATAGAGATCATAGCTATTTCAGCAACAATCATAATTAACATTTTCTTACTTCTCATCATATTGGGGGTTCAGAGTTTTTTTCTTAACAGAAGTCTTCTTCCTGCTTGTCCATCTTCTATCTGGAAGCAGGTATATACGAACATATGGATCTACTCCACGATTGGAAGAGGGTACTAAGTTTCTGTTAAAAGAAATACAGTGCTGACAAGCAAGGCACATTCTTGCACTGTGTCTTCATACCTTGTCTCTCAGAATCAGACTAATCCTTCATGGGCCAGAAACATTTATCTTGGGAATTGGAACATAAGCAAATAAAACTTTAAACAAAATTTTCACTACTTGAGTGTGTGGTCACTTCCTGAGATTCCTAAATTAATGTTAACAAATTCAGTCATAGGTATCCAGTCCTTGTCATGATGCCTATCACGACATTCCAAGGCATGCACCAGTTGTTGGTGCTGGTCAGAAGTAGTACTGGGTCAATGAAAGCTAAGCTACCTCTGCTGCACTCCATTGACCAGAGCTGGGCTTAGTGTGGCTGCACAGACTGAAGCCACCCAATGCTGGTGCATCTCAACTGGGCAGCTTACAAATCACAAGGTTCTGCTCCAGCTTTGCTGACCATCTGACAAGCTCAGAGCTCTTTCCCTTTCCTTTACAGACACAGCAAGCAATTGTCAGCATTACCTGCAGCCATTCACCAGCACGACGAGACTCTGACGTATTGAAGCGTACCGCACTGTGAGCTGAATCTCTCCCAGAGGCATTTCAGTCCCACTGTAAGACAATTGCACAATCAAAGCTTTTAAACACAGCTATTTAACCGACCACACGCACAAAACAGGAGACAATGTTGGTGCTGCATTTTTAACTAAAACTGATTTTCATGGCACTGTTCTTTCTGCCATCCTAAGGTTTGATGTCCAGAAAGCAGCTGGACCACAGAGATGCCACAGAAACAGCACTCCTGGTGGTGCCAGCACTGCCTAGCCTGCCTTCCATAATAAGTACCCCATTTCAGTCCCTGAGTACAAACAGCCAAAAAAGCACCTACGTGGCCTGCTGTAAGATGGAGCAGCAAAGTACAGGTGAGCACGTTACGCAGCTCCTTCAAGTATGTCAGTATTTGCAAAATGGGACCTTTTTTATATTTCATTCTGCATGTTATTAAAGTGGCTTCAAATCCAAAACCATCGCTTTAAAATGGTTTAAAAACGGTTTCTAAATGAGGCCCTGTTCAGAGCTGGAGAATTTGCCAGTCCAGAAATGCGAGACTGAGCAGCTGGAGCTGGGGTTGATGTTCAGGTTTATAACTGCCCTGACGCTCTCTTAATTGAGGTGGACCTTCTTTGCTACTTCAGCTCATTAAGGATTCTACTAACTCCATTCTGCATCCCAGGAAAAACAGACCCCGCTCTCCATCTTCCTTGACAGAGCCAACTACCTGCAGCCTCACACTTAGCACTGTGGGAAGGACACACACGTAAGAGCACCTAGTCACAAACACTTTGCTCACAGCATTCTGAAAGTCTTAAAAGTTTCTGGATAAAACACAGCATCCAAAACTTTAAGCAACCAGGTAATGCTTATCGAGATTTTATGTTTTTACAGAAATGGGATATTCCGACTTCCAATACCCTTTTGCTAAAATCATGGGCATTATGGAACCAAGGATATTCTGTGCAAGAGGCTCTTAAACAATATAAAGCAAACATAAGCAGCATCTCTTAGGAGAGCCAGAGAAGGAAACACTTTCACTTTACACCTGAACTGATAGTAACCTCATAATTTACTTTGCTGTTGACTGGAATACTTAGGTCAATTCTTCATAAGGTGATTTGACACAAAATTCCAAATGACTTAGCAGTCATGAATTCAACCATATACAACAGCAAACTATAAACCCTAAACCTTTTCATACAAGAACAATTCAGCTGGAAGAACACCTACTTATGAAGTTCCAGATTGCTGCTACTTAATTCAAAGCAAGAAGAAGGCAGAGAACCCAGCGAAGCAACACTGGGCGCAAGCCTCAGTTCCTGTACGACTGGCAGCGTGGGTGCTACCGCTGCTCTGCTATGCAGTGCTGATGATGTGTGATGCTCTGGATTTTGGCTGTGCTCTGCCTCATCAGGGCCAACAACAGCTTCGCTTGGTACCGATGCTGCTGAACTGTCCTTTGTGTCCAGGTCTTCTCTGCTGTCCTTTTTCAGCAGGGATTCAGGTGCTGCAGAGTCTTTGCTCACTGGAGGTACTTCTGAGACTTCTGGGTCTGGTGCGGAGACAAACTTTTGCTGGTTTCCACCCTTCTCAATGACATGCACAGGTCCTTGCTTTGAGGCACTGACACCAGCCTTGACTCTTTGTGGATCGGGTTCTTCAACATTCAAGGTCTAAAAATCACAGGGGAGAGAAGTGAGTGCTGCTCCCAAAGCACCAGGGTTAATGTGAGCATTATGGCCTGGGATGAAATTTCACCACAAAACTGTAACAGCATGAATCTGCCATTGGAAATGAAAGAGGCCTATGGGATTAGCTGTGGTGATCCCTTCCCTTGTCCTACTGTGTACGTATTTAACGCTGTCTAAACACTAACGCAGAGCACAGTGAGAAAACAGTTCCTAAGCATCTGCCTCCTTTACTGTTTAGCAGCTTTGATTTCACCAGCTTAGATTTTCTCAGTCCAACTCTTTAT